GGCTGCGAGGTCAAAGGGCTGCTTGAAATGTGCTGGTCCCCAGGGGGAAGGGTCTCCCCGCAGTGGGGATGTGGGGCTGGTGCCAACCTGGAGCATCCCGGCGCCCCGGGATGTGGGAAATCGGCCCCAAGGCACAAAATTTTACAATCAAACCCCGCCTCTGGATGAACCACCCCAACGTCTCCAATGGATGCCGAAAACCCCATGAGCGCACCCTGCCCCGTTAACACCCCAGCTCCTGGCCGAGTGACCTGCCGGAGGGGCGAAGGCGCCTCAAACAGGGCCCAGACCCCCGCCATGAAACCACAGCAGCGCTGGCCTCATCCCCTGGGCCGGACGGCGCCCCTTGGGGCAGGCCCGCTGCCACCCGCTCCTCGGGGACCCCAGCCCGGCCATGACCTCCAGCACCTCTGCGGGGCCATTCCCACTGCCGGGCTGGGCGGGCAGCAGGATGCGTCCCGGGGGGCAGAGCAGCCGCAAGCAGCCTCCCCTCGCAGGCAGCCGTCGCGGGGAGGCTGGCGCCGGCCGGGCTGCGGGGCCAAAACCTCCCGATGGAAATACTTTGCTCCTGACGCGCTGTGGTTTCCGGGTAATCATGCCGTCAGGGCTTCCTTGTTTTGTTAGGAGCCGGGACGGGCGCCCACCACGCTCCCTCCGCCCGGCCCCTCCGTGGCTCCGGCCAGGCACGGTGCCACCGGGGGACCCGTCGGCTCCAGAGAGCCTTTCCCGACCCGCCTTGATTGCTTTAAACCTGGGGCAGCCCACAGCGGGGCCGGACCGCGGCGCTGCTACAAGCCGCCCTTTATCCGGGCACAGAACCGGTTTGTTTTAGGCAGCCCCCCAGGCGCGAGAAGGGTGATGGAGCCCCTAGCAAGTCCTTCCTCTGCTCCCCGTGCTGCCCTCCGCCGCGCCGGCACCCACCGCCCCGAGCAAATGGGGACGTCCCCAATGCACCGGGCAAATGGGGCAGCTGGGGTCTCACTGCCAACCGCGGTGTGTCCCCTCCCTGCTGGCCTGTCCCCATCGTCACTCTGCCACTGTCCCAACTCTGGGTCTGGGGACATCTTCTCCCGGGGCAGGAAGGCATAAATGTCCCACGTGAGGTTGGGCAGAGCTGGCCCGGCGCGATGGAGATGCCAATGGCTTTTTGCCTGGGTGTCCCATGGGGACAAGCAGAATGGCAGAGGCTTGGGGTCACACATGAGCACGCTGCCCTGCGCCACGTGTTCCCCATCTATCTGCCACCTAAAGCCATCCCGGGCGAGGCGTAAATCTCCCTGTACTTGCAAACAGCATTAGGGGATTACCTGGGCCGAGCAGGAGGGGATTTCCCATCCCACCGCCCCTCGGCACAGCGCGGGGCTGACCTTGGGCCCCCCCATCCCGCCAGCCCGCGGTGTCTCCCACCATCCTGCGATGCCCCATCCCCAAAAAGGTTCTGCTGCAGGGGCTGACCCTGCCGGGCTGGTGGCACCCACCAGACGGGGCCACGTGGTGCCCGAGCCGCTCTGAAGCCCTGGCTAATCCTGGTGCCCACAGCACCCCAGCTCCACTTTTACCTCCCGGCACCTCCTAAGACGCTTTGAGGATGATGCCCAACGTGGCCTCTCTCCCCATCTGCTCTCCGGCCGGGTGGCTGCGGGATGTCCCCAGGCAGCGGGATGGGGACCTGCCCATTGGTGGTGAGATGGTGTCTGTGCTTACCAGCCCTGGAGCAGGCAGCTGGTGACGGGTCCCAAGCAGCAGGACGGGAAGGCGAGGAGCCGGCATGCTTCCGCAGAGCACGGGGCCCCCCAAACTCTCAGAACTTTGTCCCTCCAACTTTTCCACCAGGGTCCATCACACGCTGCCCACCACCGTCCCCATTTGCAGCGCCGGCGAGGGGGGGATGCAAGGGGACCCCCCACCCCACCACATCCGGGTGAGCTCGGGGCCGCCCGCGCCGGGATGCCCAACCACCCGCCAATTTTGCGGGATTTTTAGCGGAGCCAGTGAGGGGGGGATGTTTCAGGCTCATCTCCAAGATAAACGTTTATGTTAGGGGAGGGCAGGAGGGGGGAGAAGAAAAGCATCATTCATCAGCATTAGGAAAAAGGGAAATCGTATTAGAGGCAGCCGCGGTGATTGCAGATAAGAGCCGCTCTCGCCAGATTACTCGAACTTTAATACAGAACAGGAAAGCCCTGAACAACCAGCGCCTCGCTCCCCACTATGGAAATGAAACCCTCATCTATTTCGGGAGAGCCCACAACTTTCCTCTCTCCCCACATCTGGAGGTCCGGCCACGACAGACAGGCAGGGCTGCACCCCGCAGAGGGGCAGGAACATTTGTGGGGTGTCCCCCCCACCAGACCCCCTTTCCCACCCCATCTCCGACTCACTTTTCGTAGTCGACGTTATCCTTGTCACAGCGCACGTCCTTGTGCTTCTCCCAGTCCTTGCCGTGCTTGCAGGTGGTGAGCGAGACGATGTCCTTCCCGTTGTGGATGTGGTGCAGCGCATTCCTGGTGCCGGAGCCGATGCCGGTCAGGTACCGCTTCCCCTTGAACACCAACAAGTATTTCTTTTTCGGGGGGATCGAGTCCTGATACAACCACCCCCTCTCCCCGCCGCGCTGCGGGTGGTCCTTGGAGAAGAGAGGGATGGAGATGTCGAAGCCGGGCCTGAAGCTCTTGGTGTAGAAGCTGGCTTTGGCCAGGATGGCCTGACCGATGTCAAAGCCCAGGTCCTCGGTGTAACTGGGCCAGGTGCCCGAGTAGAGGTTGAAGATGAGGTGGTTACGGCCGCCGTTCCAGAGCGGGAAGCTGCGGATTTTCTCATCGACGTTACGGACGTATTGACCCGAGAGATGGTCACGGTCCAGCGTGTCGATGCTGAGGATGAAGAGGCAGGCTTCCTCAGGGTTCGGGGTGTAGTAGCGAGAACGCTTGATGGAGGCGAGGATTTTGCCGTAACTCTCCGAGAGGGGCTGGTCCCTCTCCCGGGGGTAGGTGAAGACTTTGAAGCCACGCTTCTCGCACCTGGAGAAGTCGAAGCAGGTTTCCATCCGGCACCTGCTGTTCTTGTAGACGCTCAGCCGCGCCGCCCGCTGTGCCCGGGGCGATGGCAGCGAGGGGTCCCCATCGCTCTGGAGCTCCTCGGGGTCTGCAAAGCTTTTGAGGAGGGACCGATCAGTCCAGCGGGGCCAGTTCCTCCGAGCTTCGGCTTTCCTCTCGGAAAAGAAACCGAAACGGCGCAGCTGGTCTCCTCCAAAGAAGAAAAGCAGGAGCCAAGAGGCAAGGAAAGTCAGGAAAATGTATTTCTTCCTGGTCTGCATAGGTTCACGCGCAGCCCCGGCTCCTCATCGGGCTCAGATGGGCGCAGGAGTCCAGTCGAAAGGCCGACGTCCCGAACCCCAAGCGGGTGGTGGGATGGCTCCCGGCCCCCAGGTATTGTCCCGTGGCCCTTGCAGACCGTGGGAGCGTGGATGAACCCCGCAGTCCTCTTGCTGCCCCCTCCGACCAGGGCTGCGGCTGGCTTTTTGGGGCCGTCCCTCTCTCCGGCTGCGGAGCAGAGCTCGGTGCGTCGTCGTCCCGCTCCCTTCCCTGCGGCGCAGCGTTTACTTTGCTGGGCCCCCGTGCCGCGACAAGGACATTTCCATCGCTGCTTGGCCCAGCTTCAAATCCCTGGAGACGGGGAGAGGTCGCGCCGTCGCCGTCCTGTCGCCGCCAACCGTGTCACCGCAAACGGCTCCCCACGTCCTCGCGGCGGGACCCCCCCTCCCCAGACCCCTCCTGGGAATAAAACCTCCCGCTCCCTCCGG